GCCTGTGTCCAGCTCTGAAACCTGACTGGAATGTCTTCAGAATGTCAAGAGAATTCATGAAGTCCATCACCTTCTCCAAAAGCTTAGAGAGGAACAGGAGTAATTCCCATCTGGGCCGGCACGAACCGGGCCGGGTGGCGTCGGTCCGGCTCCCGCACCGCTAGGGTTTGTTCACACACACGGGAAATCTCCGAGCACGTGGGCGGAGCAAAGGACGTGGGGAAAAGTCTGTGGTGTCTCCCATGAACAAAAGCGTCCGTGAGTGTGTGTGTGTGTGTTCCTCACTGCAGTGAGGAGGAGACAGAGCGCTGCTGCTGCTGCTTCAGTCAGAGGCAATGTTTATGCCTCATCCAGAATGATAATGAATCACGCATGCAGGAAGCCCGGATTGGTTGATTTTATCGGCCAATCGGAGGCTCCCACTAATACTACCCGAGCCAGCATATCAGTCGTAGTGGGTGTGTTGGCCCACACCAGCCCTGAGCAGACCACCAGAGGTTAAGAGCCAAAAAAACATCCGGTAGGATTGGCAAAAGCACCACCAGCGCCATGCAGGTATAAAACAATAAATGTAATGCAGGCCGGGCCGGGCCAGGCGGTACCAAACCCATATAACTCTTGACTGGTCAGGGAACGCATTCCCCCAGAGGAGCTGGCCCAAGGGAAGTCCGGGCCTCCCTGCTTAGGCTGCTGCCCCGGAGCCCCGACCCCAGATAAGTGGCTGAAAATGGATGGATGGATGGATGGATGAGTAGATGAAGGTATTGGTGGGTGGGTAGATGGATGAATGGATGGATGGGTGGGTGGGTAGATGGATGAATGGATGGATGGGTGGGTAGATGAATGGATGGGTGGGTAGATGGATGGGTAGAGGAATGGATGGGTGGATGGGTGGGTAGATGGATGGGTGGATGGGTAGATGAATGGATGGGTGAATGGATGGGTGGGTGGGTAGATGGATGGGTGGATGGGTAGAAGAATGGATGGGTGGATGAATGGATGGGTGGGTGGGTGGGTAGATGGATGGGTGGATGGGTAGAAGAATGGATGGGTGGATGGATGGATGGATGGATGGGTGGGTAGATAGATGGGTGGGTAGATGGATGGGTGGATGGATGGATGGGTGGGTAGATGGATGGATGGATGGATGGGTGGATGGATGGATGGATGGATGGATGGGTGGGTGGGTAGATGGATGGGTAGATGAATGGATGGGTGGATGGATGGATGGATGGGTGGGTGGGTAGATGGATGGGTGGATGGGTAGAAGAATGGATGGGTGGATGGATGGATGGATGGATGGATGGGTGGGTAGATGGATGGATGGATGGATGGGTGGATGGATGGATGGGTGGGTGGGTAGATAGATGGGTGGGTAGATGGATGGGTGGATGGATGGATGGGTGGATGGATGGGTGGGTAGATGGATGGATGGGTGGGTAGATGGATGGATGGATGGATGGGTGGATGGATGGATGGATGGGTGGGTAGATGGATGGATGGATGGGTGGGTGGGTGGGTAGATGGATGGGTGGGTGGGTAAACAACTCTCCTCAGTTTGGATAACAGCAATGTGACTTTTCCGTTCATTCATTTTTCTTGCATAAAAAGCTGTGGGTGATGTCACGGAGTGTTTGTCCAGTATTTTTAGTCATTGGTCGAGATGCACTCTGCTCTGTCCTTCCAGTGGGCGGTCTCAAGCCAAGGTGGGGGCGGGGCTTTGCATAAAAATTAGAAATAGGAGTGACTAGTTTTTTTCTGCAGCTAATGCAGGACACACGGGTTGAAGATCATTTCCATGTTCAGCAGGCATGTGCAACTCAGTGACCAGTCTATTTCACTTTCTCGGTGAACCTTTAGAGACAATAGATGGATAATGCTCAGACACCACCACATCCTTAAGGCCCAGCATCTGAAGACCCTCTTGATGGAGGAGCAGAAACGTCGACTCCGATTACAATAAAAACCAGAAAACAGCTTCTGGTGAGCTCTCTCACTTCCACGTGCTGCAAGACATTTCTAATTAATTTGGGTTTTTAGCTTTTGCTGCTGGTTACTTTGGAGCATCCCTCGAGCTGTGAGAACTATCAGTTTGTGTTTTTAATCACACACGTCACTGATTCAATTAAAGAACACGATGCTTTTGCGTTGTGACAAGGCCGCTTTAGCAAACGATCCATGAGAGGCGCGATGCAGGGACAGGAAAATGGGTCAAATGGACCCTGAGAGAGAACAAGTGCAACTCAGCCAATCAACCGTGGATCTTTTTTCTATATTCCTGCCAGCTACAGATGAGATGAGAGAAAAGCTGGTGGAGAGAGAGGCTGCTGCTAAAGAGGTGGAGAAAAGAAAACTCAGGAGTGCCACCAGGTTTCAGCTCATCTGCATTTCTAATCCAGAAAGGAGGACCGTCGTGATGGGCAGAGAGGACAACATGAGGGGGTACGCAGTAGAAGAGAGATGGGGGAGGGAGAGAGAGGAAGGGAGAGGGAGAGACAGAGAGAGATGGGGTGGGTGGGGGGAGACACAGAGGACGAGGAGGGGAGAGGAAGAGAGAAAAACATGAGAAGGGACCCAGTAGGAGATGGGGAGAGGTAGAGGAGGGGAGAGGAGGGGTAGAGGAAGGGAGAGACAGATGAAGACAGAGAGAGAAAGAGAGAGAGACAGATGAAGACAGAGAGAGAAAGAGAGAGAGACAGATGAAGACAGAGAGAGAAAGAGAGAGAGACAGAGAGAGAGAGAGAGACAGATGAAGACAGACAGAGAGAGAGACAGATGAAGACAGGCAGAGAGAGAGAGAGAGACAGATGAAGACAGAGAGAGAAAGAGAGAGAGACAGAGAGAGAGAGAGACAGATGAAGACAGACAGAGAGAGAGACAGATGAAGACAGGCAGAGAGAGAGAGAGAGACAGATGAAGACAGAGAGAGAAAGAGAGAGAGACAGATGAAGACAGGCAGAGAGAGAGAGAGAGACAGATGAAGACAGAGAGAAAGAGAGAGAGACAGATGAAGACAGGCAGAGAGAGAAAGAGAGACAGATGAAGACAGAGAGAGAAAGAGAGACAGATGAAGACAGACAGAGAGAGAGACAGATGAAGACAGGCAGAGAGAGAGAGAGATGAAGACAGAGAGAGAAAGAGAGAGAGACAGATGAAGACAGGCAGAGAGAGAGAGAGAGACAGATGAAGACAGAGAGAGAAAGAGAGAGAGACAGAGAGAGAGACAGATGAAGACAGACAGAGAGAGACAGATGAAGACAGGCAGAGAGAGAGAGAGAGACAGATGAAGACAGGCAGAGAGAGAGAGAGAGACAGATGAAGACAGACAGAGAGAGAGACAGATGAAGACAGAGAGAAAGAGAGACACAGGGACACAGAGAAAAAGAAACTTGTGACAGATAGTCTATAAACACGAGTCCCTGGGGACTAACGAGAGGACGGCGGCTCAGAGAGATAGCAGCAGTCCGACGCTGAATTAGAAAACATTTATTCTGCCTGATGTTTTTGAAACAGTTCTCCCTCTTTTTCCTGTTTGGGAGAAAAAAGCTGATTGAAGGTTTGCCCAGAGATGAAGAAAAAAAAAACAAATTAGGCCACTTTTGTCACAAGTCTCTAAACTGAACCCAGTCAGCAGCCAGGTTTTTAACGAAGAGAGAGGCTTCTTCTGACAGCTATCGCTCCATTCTTTCACAGATTAAGAAATAATCTCTCAAGAAGTCGTGAAGCGGTTCTTCTGATCAGCATCCAGCTACAGGTGACGTTCTCAGGCTTGATGCTAAACCGAATCCAAGGCCGAGGAGGGCTGAAAGCCCCTTTAGTGAGTCGTTACGCCCTCACCTCTGACCTCAGCCGTTACCCCAACATGGCTCCGGCCAATGGGGTTAGTTTGGGGGGGAAGACATGTCAAAACAACGTCCCTGGCTCCTACAGAGATGCACTGGATTACAGGAGATTACGGGCCAATTTTAATCTCTGCTGTGGCATCATTTTAACTCCAATATTAAAAAAAACACAATCAATTATTTATTAGGTGTGCTATCTATCAGGGTTTAATATTACATGCATTTTATCGCTTATCCCTACCTGGTTGTAGAACACATTAAAGGCGTGGGACACTCATTTACCCAATAGCAGAGGAGGAGACGAGTGCCATGTTAGTTGTGCTCGAGGGGAAATAAAACACCAGTTCCAGGAACTAGAAGCGAGTCACATCACAGCTGAGCTTCAGACAGGACGACCTGGAGTCTTACTTCCTGATTTATGGACATCTCTCCTCTGATTGGCTAGCAGCAACACGACTCTACCACTGACTCGGTTTGCTCTGCAACATTGGCGTTTCATCTCCACCAATAACACAAGCCTGGAGGAGTTCTGCTGTGTGGTGGAGTTGCTAATGCTAACAGTTAGCTTCTACTAGCCGAGACGCTCTCTGCCGTTTCCTGGACGCTAAACCAACAACAGCCTTCCTCGTGAGTCAGATGGGTGAGTCCATGAATGTAAGTGACAGTGTGACGTTGATCTGTCAGGCTTTTCTATCCTAGAGGTTCACCGTCTGATTTCTATCAAATGCTAATGCTAGGCGTAGAAGACTATTTTCCACGATCAGCCTGCATGAAACACTCAGAGTGACCGTTAGAATCAGAACTAATCATTAAAAATGGGTTTTCAGTAAAGTTGACCCTTAAATACTTACATTTCCTTATGTTAATGGATGTATAATAAAAGTACATTTTTCCATAATTTGCAAAAACAAACAGCACAAATTTGTTTAGTTTAATGATTAAAACTGAGTTTATTAACAAATATGAAGCATTTTTTAATCCATAAAGAGATTTCATCTAAGTTTACTTTTGCCTTCTTTTCTCTAAACGTAGTTTGTTTCAGGAAAAGCATAGTTTACGTATCGGCTGTAGACGCTAGCATAAACTCTGATTAGTGAACAAGTTAATAATCAGCTGATTTGTTGTCATATAACAAAAGTAAACAATTCAAAAGGAGAATGTGTTTAAAATCTATTTATTAAAAAAAAAATGCTCATAATTCATCATATCAACTGTAGAAACAAAATAAAAACATCAGAGTAGCCATGTTGGGACGCGTTCACGGCGTCTTTCTGAGCTACGTTGTCGTTTGGCACTAAACTCTTTTCCTGCCGGGATCGACTCCTCTGAACATACGGACTCTGGAAGCTACAGACAGATTCATTAGATCAGACAGGTTCTTTCCACCATTTCCAAGTCGTTCTGGTTCTCTAGAACCAGTTTCATGGTCCGGGTCAGCTTGAGCGATAACCTGGAAATAAGCTGATTATTGCTGTTAAACAGTGGCTTAAAAATCACAGCAAACAAGCTGCATCCTGCTGGGTTTCAACATAACTGCGTTAACATGTCACACAGCACGACAAGGTCATTCGTTAACAAAATAAAAGCCCCAGCGGATGGCACGGGTTGAAATGTGACCCAGCTGATTAATGCAGATTCAGATGTAAAGAAATGTCAAAAATGAATTTTTTGATGCCAACGGAGCCTACTGGATTCATGTCAGATGTTCTTGAGAGAAACAGAATAAAAATGAACTTTTTAAGCTTCACTAAAAGCGTTTTAAACTAAACCAGACTATAATCTGAGCTGTTTTACTGGGATTTCAATACAAACTCTCCAGGATGATTTTTATTGCGTGAAGGTCCCAGAACCCTGTAGATGCTCCGTGGCATGAATCCTAACGCTGAAAAAAGTTTTTAAAAAGTGTAAAAAACCAGGAGAAAAGCAGCTTTGTTCATTTCTGGGGTTGAAGTCTGACACCATAAAGGTCAGAGCAGCGTGTCAAACCCTAACCCATGGTTCAACAGTCACATGATCACATCAGATGGTTGCAGGGACAGGAAGGTTTGGCTTGTGGGAAATCTGTGCCAAGCTCGCAGCGGCGCCGCTGAGGAAAAGAACTTTGTGTGCAGAATCTTACGGGGCTGCAGCTTGTTGGAGGTCGAAGAAAAACGGATTCAAAACATGTAAATTTGGCAGAAAACAACAATGAATTCGACAAATGTGTTGCTGTTCAGTCACAAAAATCAAAAATGTCCACGTTTCATCCACATGTTGGCGATTCCCGACCCAAGCAGGGAAGGGCTCCGTAGAAACTCCGGCATTGGGGCGTTTGTGAGGTGCAGCCCAGAGAGATGCTGGGTTTAGAGCGGAGCGAGTCTAAAACAAGTCACAAGTGTTCCCCAACAGTGAGCTAGGCTCCGCAAACGGATCTGACAAACATGCATGATTCTAAAAAACAACCAAAGAAGCTTCTCCTTCCACCCTGAAACACGTCTGCTCATGAGTGACATCATAGTGTCGTTTTAAATCCGTACATGCAACCCTTTAGTCTCACAACACCCACACGGCGTACGAAACACGAGACGCAGGCAAACACCAGCGGCTGGATAAATGGGTCGGGCAGCCGCACACAGGATAGCTCACACACAAACACACACACTGCACATCTCATCGTAAAACTGAAAATGTCACATTTTAAAGTCTCTTAATTCTGTAAAAACTAGACTTGAATAAAGGTGGTTTCGTCGGGTTTGTGCAAAACGAGAACCCAACGGGAAGAGCACAGAGCCAGGACCAGACCAAAGACACGTCAGGGTGTCAGACGGCGCTTGACCCCCAACCACGGATGTGCTGGAGGACCCAATTACCACCAGACTCAGAGAGGTTGCACTTTGCACCGAGCCTTGGTTACAGAGAGGACGAGAGGTCCAGCTTCATTTGTTATTCCTAGTTAGGGAGGCAGCTGATCCGTTTGGAGGTCCGTTACTCCCAGCGGGCAGTGACGTCTCAAAGAGTTTCTCATCAACTTGAAGTCCAAACAAAGGAAAGATCACTAGAAGCGCCGCGGATTTCTCCCAGAAACAGAAGTCTGAAAGGCTTTAACTCCATGGGTGAGTGTGAAAGACCCCTGCACCCCCACTGCAGAGCTGAAATGTCCTGAGCACCGTTGAAAAGCACTGTGAGCGGTCGATCGGGAGTCCGAGTCCAGTTACTCCCAACGCCCGTCGTCGGCGAACAGCTGGGTGTCCCAGAAGTCGTCGACGGGCGTGTGTCTGCTGTTTGTGTGGTGCTTCCTGTGGGCGCTGCAGTGTGTGGACGCAGGGGAAAGTGTGTGTCAGTCCATCTCAAAGTTCATCAGCTTGTTGTGCGAGCGGGGAGTGTGTGTCGTGTTACGGCAGCAGCAGTGGGCGCACAGGAGACCCAGGAGCACCGAGAAGAGCCCGACGCCTGGAGAGAGAGAGAGAGAGAGAGACACACACACACACACACACACACACACACACACACACACACACACACACACACACACACACACACACACACACACACACACACACACACACACACACAAGGTGCGACTATTACCGGTTCTGTTTATGTTCATGAAAACACTCAAAGCCAACAAATGCTGTGTTTCTGTCCCTAGAGCCACGGAGACGAGTCGCTCCCCCGTTTCAGAGACGTGTCTCGTCTCTGAAACGGTTTTACAAACCTGACCCGGACTAGAAGCTAGCACCCGGACCTGGACCGGGTCTGGATGGCGAGCCACGCTGCTTGCGGGTACATCGACAGACGCGAGGTCAGCGGTCCCTCCGACCACCACCAGCAGGAAAGGAGGCTCAGTGACACTACAACAGCATCAGAATGAGCAGGACTCGAACCTGCAACCCTCTGGTTACCCTAACCAGGTGATTAACGGGTAACTCATCCAGTCCATCAGGTTCAGAGAAAAAAAACTAAGCAGGCGTGGGGAACCCTGGTCCTCGAGCGCCGGTATCCTGCACGTCTTTGCTCCAACACTTCTGATCAGGCTCTGCAGAAGCCTGTCAATCACCTGCTGGTTGAAATCAGGTGTGTTGGAGCAGGGTTGAAACCAAGATATGCTAGATAGCGGCCCTCGATGGACCAGGGTTCCCCACCCCTGAACGGATGGACGGGAGACCTCCAGGACAGGGCTGGACACTGATCTAGAAAATCTGTCCAACTCTGACCTGCTAGCCTGTCTTCCAGAGACAACTGTCCCCTCAGCTGTCTGTGGACCAGTGAAGTACACACCCAGACACCAAACAGCCCTGTGACTACCCATACTACAGATCGCAGGATCCGTTTTTATTCATCGTTCCGATCGGAGGTCGCTCTTTTAACAAAAGAGAGAATTTCATTCAATTCTCTTTTCGAATGTCGTTCCTACGGACGTTAGAACCCGTTTTCAGTGACAAACGCCTGAAAACGCGTCTAAGTGACCGCTACAGTTATGTTCATGCTGATCTTACCCAGTGAAGCTGCTGCACCGTACAGGAGAGGAAACTTTAGGGAGTCCCACACTGGAAACACGAGACGAGCAGAAATGAGTTAGATTCTGCGTAACTCGTGAGTTCATCTCTAAACGAAGGAGGAGGTTTCCTCACCAGCAAACTTGACAGAGATGAAGACTCGTCCAGACGTCAGCTCTCCGGCTTCGGTCCAGGCTCCCGTGGAGGACGACAGGTACCAGGGCGTGGCCATGCAGTGGTACTCTCCACTGTCCCTGAGAGGTTACAACTGGAAGAGTTAATATCAAAGATGCACCAACATCGTGTCGTGTGCACGACAGTTACAGAATAAATACAACGTTCACCTGGACAGGTGAGACACCCCCCCCCCCCACACACACACACACACAGAACATGAGAATAAAAAACGTACCACCGTCTAGCAGACGTTTCTGTACCCAACCCCTGACCCGTATGAAAGCTCACCGGTGGACGTGACTTTAACCCGATCACGTCTTCAGCATTCAGCATTATTAATGCTGACCAGCGCTGGGAAGCACGCATCTGTATTGATGTGACCTGGCGGCCCACTGGATGCATCAGGTGTTACGCTTCACAGCTGGTTTCCCTTCGTTTGTCATCTTTGATCTTTACTCTAACACTTATTGGACTTCTACTAGGGTACCACTTAGTCCTGATGGCGTCCTTCAGCCACACGATGAGTACGGTGGCTCATTCCACTCAGCCCCGCCCACTCCTGTTAGGCCAGGGCCGACTTTCCAGTCTGAAACAAGTGGCTTTTCACACGTTCATAAGGTACCAGCTAAAGCTTCTCCACAGGTGCCCCAGCACTAGAGGGTGAGGGTTACGTAGGACACCTACTGAGGAACAACCTGGCTCTGTTCCATCCATGCGTACCCCTGTAGGCACCCAGCTGAGTGCCTACAGAGGCATGTACCCTCAGAAGTATGCACCCCATGCATGTCCACTAAACCCACCCATAGGTACCAGGTACTGGTACCAGCCCATAATCGTATTCCTACCCATCTACTTTGGTTCTGAATTTAAAACCATAGCTCCTCGTGAACTGGTACCGACCTGGATCACCTCTCTGGACATAATCCTTGTTCCTTCTCCCCCACAGAGGACGGGTCAGGACCAGGGAGGTCCTCTGTCCTACAATCCCATCCATCTACCCAAGTCCGTAGTCTTGGTGGTAGTCAGCACCAGGTTGTTCTGAGATGGTTAACCTCCTCCCTACCGCTCAACACCACCGTGACAGAAGACATTCTCGTGGACCTGTCCAGACCTAGAAAAACTAAAGTCAACACCACATGGACCAACCTGTCCTGAGTGCCATAGATGTTCAGCTGGTAGCTGTTGGTGTCTTTGCGCTCAATCGAAACGTCACTGGAAGAGTTCCGGTGGACTTTTCTCACGACGCCAAAGCGATCCAGGGTGGCGACTCGAGCGTTCAACTGTCCTCCCCGCAGCCTGGTGAAGAACCAGCTCACCTCGTAGGACAGGTCATCTGAGCAGAAAACGCAGAGTTCAGGTCAAAACGTGGAAAGGAGAGGCTGCAGGTTCTTTCTTTATCCTCCTGTGTTAAACTAAGCTAGGCTAAGCTGTTAGGCTAAACTAGTGAAAGAACCAGAGACATCTCAGGGTTGCTGAAGACATTTTGGGAAGTACTTCCTGTGATCAGCCTCATGCTAGTGGGTCATAGGAGCTCTTTAATACCATCCCACATCTTCTCAGGGACCACCAGAGTGGTTTACTGCCTGCTTTTATGGGCTTTCCACATTTTTAGCTACAATTAAGCTAAAGACAGTGGCCCATAAATGCCGTTTAAAGACAGTTTGAATAAGTTCCTGCTAATGCAGGACATTTAACACAACAAACGCTGTTTTAAAGTGCTCCTAAAAGGCATTTGTGTTTAGCTGATGTAATGCATTTCAAGCAGCTGACAGATCAAGTGAAAACTCAGAGGCTGTTAAATTTGACAGAAGTAAAAAAGCTCGGCGTCTGAAAATGGGTCATTTAATCACTGCTGCTTTCTGGTGTGTGCCGACAGCCATCACACCGGGTCCAACGTTCACAGGAAGTCCCGTCATCACTCAAATCAAATCAGCTGATGTCTGATAAAACACAGAGATGGGCAACAGCGACGTCGGTTCCAGATAATCGTCGTAATGGATGCAGTCGAAGGAAATAAAAAAAAGGGAAGCTAATCACTTCCAAGAGCAAGAGGTAGGGAGGGAAGCGTGGAGCGTGAGACCGACAGGAGCACACACTAGTCATTAGTCTGTCAGGAAGAGAGGGACTATTAGCCATGTGACTCCTACACTCAGAGACGGAATAAAACCCCACGGAGCCTGAGTCATCCTCCGTCATCCACGAGACAAACGCGCGCGGGGGGGGGGGGTGGTACACATAACAGCAGCATTTCCCAACACGACTTCACAAAAACACAGACAAAAGATAAAAAACAATCATGAAAGCCGCGCAGAAGTGAGGAGGAGGAAGAAAACGATGGATGGGCTGGTAATGGGAGGGGGGGGGGGGGGCTCACCCAGAGCAGAATAATGAATCTCCCTCGCCCTCTCCTCCATAATGGGTTCATATTCAAGCGCTACATCGTTAAAACCTGAAGCAGTAGGCGGTGAGGCGTAACGCCGTCTCCATTTTCCAGACCCGGACCCTGGAAAATCTGGATGTACTCTGGTCAAAGTTCACTTAGAATACACCCTGGTACAACAGCTTAGTAACACAGACCCACAACTGTATGGACAGAGTACTACCATAAGTTCTTCTATCTACTCAAGGTACCCTGCATAGTGGAATAATGACACCTGGTGGTCAGGTTTGGGTACTGCAGCCCATTTTTACACACTAGTGACTTCACCACTACCTCTCCGTGATGCCAGCTACGGATCAGCAGAAGATTCTGGATGAGGAGCAAACACGGGTCATACCCAGTTAGCTGATAAGTAGATAAAACATTTCACTGTAATATCAAGATGTTGGTAAAGGAAATAAAGTGGCTTCAGATATGTTTGCTTCTAATTCACCGTTAGCATCGTTAGCTCAACGTTGGCCTCTAGCCTTCACCCAACAGGAGAGTAAAACCAAAAGATGCCGTGGCTTCTTAGGGGTACAAGAAATGACTTCTGGGTTGCTCCTGTCGCTTCCATATTGTACTTTTAAGAACTTTGTATTTATGATAAATTACCTGCACTTGTATAGCGCCTTTCTGAGTCAGAGGACAGCAAAGCACTTTCCACTACAATCCGGTCCTTCGCCCATTCACACACTGGTGGTGATGCTTCGCAGCCACAGCTGCTCTGGGGTACTCTGACAGAAGATGTAAGGTGGCCGAGAACAGGTAGGGTGAAGTGTGTGACCCAAGGCCTGGATTCAAACCGGCAATACACCAATTTAGGGTAAACTCCACCACCACCATGTGGTGCAGGTTCTCCCTGGAAGCACCCTTTAAGTACATTGTGAGTACGAGGCTTTACTATGTACTACTAACAGATTTTTCTTTCTGCTTTGTAGTGGTCTTTATTTTGGATGCATATTTGAATTAAGTGTGAGAATCTAGTGGAGAGGAAAACGAAAAGAAAACACCAGCAGAGTTTTATCGTGTAAGGAAAAGCCGATGGTCTGAGATCATCATCAGTTCTGGATTTGAACGAAAACAAAAGCATGATTCAGTAATCAGTGGTTGTCTTGGTAAAAACCTGATGGTCGAAGTCAGACAAGAATCTCCAGACATCTTAAGGACGACTGAGAGAAAACAAATGGGAATCGATAGAAAGCTCCAGGAAAAGCAGCCTGAGTGACGGATGACAACTCAATAATCCCAGAGGACGAGTCGCCAAGAACATCCCAGACTGTTCATTGACTAATCTGCATTAAACAAATGTTTAAAATAATATGAGAAGAGTGGAACATCCTTCACTCATTATTAATACATGTGCAGTGGTCTCTAGTAGGAATGAATGTGTGTTGAACTCTGGGGAAAAAAAGCTCTGGTGCGCCTGTTTCAGCATGGAGAAGAAAGTAACTTCAGACGACTTCCTGATATCTGGACTTCTCTCCTCTGATTGGCTAACAGCAACATGACTCTACCACTGACTGTTTTCTCTCCAACGCTGATGTTCTATCTCCACCAATAACACAAGCCTGGAGGAGTTCTGCTGTGTGGTGGAGTAGCTAATGCTAACGGTTAGCTTCTACATCCTGGATGCCAAACCAACAACAGCCTTCCCCGTCGTGAGTCAGATGGGTGAGTCCATGAATGTTAGTGACAGTGTGACGTAGATCTGTCAGGACTTTCTAAATCTAAAGTTTCACCGTCTGTTTTCGATCAGAAGCTAATGCTAATGCTAGGTGTAGGAGACTATTTTCCTGTTCTGGTATGTCTGTTATTATTGGCTTTACACCAGATCTATAGAAATACTGAATCAGAAAATTAAAGGGAGTGATTTCACGCAAAACTCAATCCCAATCAGATGATCCAAGTTATTCCATCTGGCCATTCAGGCGAACTTTCACCTGTCCTGAAGCTCACTCTCTATTCTTCCACCACCACAGCCGTTTTTCTATTATGGGATGTTTCTAGGTTTAGTTTCAAAGCAACAAATGAACAATCGAACCAAACAATGATTCTTTTAACCACTAAAGTGTTGATTAGATGTCAAGTTTTCCAAGTCGTTCTCTCTCCAGTCTAAATCAGTCGCTTCCTGTCGATGGGCCCTTCTTTGCATCATCATTAATAATAATTAAACTCACTTCAGATGATTCGATGTGACTAATATGATGGTTACGACAACGAAGGTGATGATGAAGATGAGTCAGGGCAGCACGGTTACTTCACCCACGAAGGCCAGAGGACGAGCGCTCCATTAACCAAGGAGGAGGAAACAGGACGTGACACTAAAGGAGGGGGGTTAATGGGGTCGAGTGACCACGCGAACACACACACACACACACACCCTCCAGACTCGCCATCAACCAACAGCTCTGACACTGAGAGGACATCTCCGGCGCTTCGTGAAGGTACTTACATAAGGACTAACCTACTTTCTGAAGTATCCTATAGTACATACACAGAGTTTAAAGTACTACTTCTGTACATGTTTTCAGTTTCTGGTTCCAAACCTCAGAAGGTTCTGGTGAGGTGTGGAGCAAACCTTTTTACTATACAGGAGTTAAAAGTGTTTGACTGAAGATGAAGGATTGTTTTCTCACCTCCACCAGCAGGAGCATCACAGGTCTTCTGGATTTTATTAGAATTTCCTTCATTTAGAATCAAAAATAGGCTTTTCTGTTTCATTAAAGTAGAAAACGTTCCCATTTTACTGGATGGTTCCTGTAGGACATCCTCTAGAGCAGGGGTCACCAAGCTTGGTGAAGCTGAGAGCTACTTCATGGGTACTGAGCCACACCAGGGCCTTCCAGGTAGGTTCAACAATGACCTTTGAACTAGAATGGAGTTCAAAACATGGCAGCGGATTTATTTATTTATGTTAGACTTGTGCAAAAAGCCTGTGGGCACCTTAAAGGGTTCCTGTGCTTGTGTAGCGCCTCCTTGGGGTTCTACAACCCCCCAAGGCGCTTCATAACACAATCAGTGATCTACCCACTCACGTGCCGGTGATGAGCTACGACCTGCAACCTCCTGATTACTGGACAACCTGCTCTACCTCCTGAGCTGCTGCTGCTCCAGCTGTTCCAGGGGTCACCAGGTAGGTGACCTCTGCTCCAGAGACATTGCTACCAAATTACCTTTAAAAGAATAGATTTTGTTTCATGAACTTCAAACATTTTAGATGAACTCCAAATGTTTCTGGGATGTCTTAAAGATCTAAGTTCACACATAAAACGGTTCCCGTTTTCCTGTAACTTGAGTTCATCGAGAGGAGCCAGTTGAGGTGGCTCGGGCATCTGGTCAGGATGCCTCCTGGACGCCTTCCTGGTGAGGTTTTCCGGGCACGTCCAACCGGGAGGAGGCCTAAAGGCAGACCCAGGACACGTTGGAGGGACTTTTAGGCCATTCCCATCTGTACCGGGTCGGCCCGGGCCGGGTAGCGTAGGTTGTTTACATATCTGGGTGGCCTGGTATTTTTCCGGGCCAACCAAGGCTCATTCTCAGCCCTCTTCTCGAGGGGGTCTGCTTCAGGCCGACCAGGGCCAACACACCCACTGCTGACAGCAAATTCACACCTTCCATTAGAGCAAGCCTCTGATTGGTGGGTAGAATCAGCCCACATGGGCTTAAGGCAAGGATGTGTGGAATCAACCGGGCCAGGCTGGGGCCGACTGGGGCTACCCGGCCCGGGCCGACCCGGTACAGATGGGAATGGCCCATATGTCTCTCACCTGGCCAGGGGAACACCTTGGGATTCCCCTGGAGGAGAGGGAAGTCTGGGCCTCTCGACTTAGGCTGCTGCCTCCATGATCCGACTCTGGATAAGGGGAAGAAAAAGGAAGGATGGATGGAGTTTATCGGCCACACTCTGATGC